GCGCCCCTGGCGAGGCCCCGCATCCGGCGCATTCCTGCCTGGAGCACGGCCAACGGACTGGGCGCACCCCTCGTCCGGCGGAATGTGCCCCCTCTTCTCCGTGCCCCCGCCCCCGGGCCCCGGGGAATGGCTCCGCCCCGGCCTGGCTCGCTCGCGCCCACCCCCAGCCGGGGTTTTCATTCTTCCGCACCGCACACACGCCCACCGTGTGCGCGGCACACTGTCCCCCCCCCCCCCCCGAACAGACGCCACAGAGAGCGGCGCGGGCGCGCACGCGCGTGTGCACAGGGAAAGTGTATATTGGAAAAGACGGGGACAGAGAGAGCGGACGAGCAGGTGCCCCTGCCCGGGTTGGCGCCGCGCCCTCCTCCCGCTCCCCCGCCGCGCCGCACCTTGCACGCGCGGCCTCCCGGGCGTGTGCGGCGAGAGTCCCAACAGGTGCCGGGAAACACACGCACAACCACGCGCACGGGGGTGTGCATGCGTGGAGGGTGGGGGAGGGGGGGGAGAGCAGAGGAGAGCGAGGGTGCGGAGCATAAGAGAGAAAGAGTGTGCATGTGTATGTGTGTGTATGTGTGCAGACAGGCACCCTCGCCCTCACTGCCGCCTTGAGAGGAGGTGGCACAGCCAGCCCCCCCCCTCGGCAACCGAGGCCGCAAAACGCAGCTGCCATATGCACGCACGGGCCGCCGCCCCTCCCCACCCGGAGAGGGAGACAGACACACACACACGCACACACACGGCCAGACAGACACACAAAGGCGGGAGACAGAGGCACTACACCCCGGACCTGGAGGCGGGAAACTAGAAGTCCAGGTTGAGGTTCTCCAGCATGGCGTCAACGTCGGCCCCGGCCCCCAGCTCCGGGGCCTGCTCGGCGTCCTTGTTCCGGCGCCGGCGGGACTTGGCGCCAAAGGCATCGCCACTGGCCAGCGACTCGAGAATCCCATCCAGCAGGTGCTTGTCGTCCTCCTGGGCCTCGCTCAGATCGGTGATGACCTTGCGCTTGGCCTCCTCCTCGGCGCGCTTGAGCTCCTTCTCCTTCTGGGCGGCGGCCACGCGCTCGGCCTGGGCCGCGCGAGCCGCCCGGATCTTGTTCTCCTCGCGAGCCTGGTTGAACAGCTGCAGGAAGGTGTTGAACTGGGCGAAGAACTCCTCCGGCTGCATGGCCGGGTCCTCGCCATACATGGCCAGGATCTCCTTGTAGAAGGAGTCCAGGCGCTCCTGGCGCTTGGTGATGTCCTCGAAGTCCTTGCCGGCCTCCTGCGAGAAGGGGAAGAACACCTCGTAGAAGCGGTCATTCTCCGGCGGGTTCTTGTCCTCGCCCTTGTCGGTGACAATCTTCAGCTGGTTCTCCAGCAGCCGCAGACCCAGCCGCACCTCGGCGATGTCCGCCTGCAGCGAGCTGTACGTGATGCGGGTCGGAGCCTCGCAAGCCTGCAGGTCCTCCGTGATGGTCAGCAACTCCGGCATATGCTGCTCCAGCAGGGTGATGATGTACTGCATCAGGGTCTGCTGGTTGTTGGCCGACTTGGTGTCCACCAGCTTGTGCATGGACGACAGCCGGAAGCCCTTGGCATTGCCCTTGGCCGTGCCGGTGTTCATGAAGTTCCCGAACACAAGGATCAGCTCCAGCAGCGTGCCAAAGTGCTTCGACGCCTTGAGCGTCCGGCAGGCGGCCATGATGGCGTCCAGGTTCTGCCGGATCTCCTTCGACTTGTCCGGGAAGGTGCGCCGGAAGAGCAGCAACTTCAGGCGCTGCTCATACCGCGGCACCGTCAGCATGGTCAGGAAGAAGAGATCCGCGCTGTCCAGCTTGGACGGGTCTTCGGCGAACGGCTCCAGCGCCTTGGACTCCTCGTCATTCGGCACGTAGTTCAGCAGCTGCACATAGTGGTTGTCGCTGAGGGTCTCGTCGTCGGCCGACAGGACGGCCAGCTTGATCTTCTCGAAGGGCATCTTGATGTTACCAAGCATAATGGCTGGGCGCGTGGGACCGGCCGTGCAAGGTCGCACACATCGGCAACGACGGTCAGATGACACGCACGCAGGGAGCCGCTGTTGGCGAGGGAAACCCAGCCGGCCCAGAGGCTTCGCATGCGCCCCCCCCCCCCCTCCGATGGCGGGAAACAAAAAGAGCGAAAAAAAAAAAAACCCACCCACCCACCCCCGCAGGAGGAATGCCACCACCAAAAACGCACAGCAGTTGTACGACCGCTTGGAATCAAGCACCGAGATCTTCTCCTCCTTCTTCGGCTTGTCGGCCGCCTCCTTGAGCGGAGCCGCCTGCTTGGCGGTGAAGGTGTCCTCAAACTCGGAGAAGTTGAAGAGCTTGATGTACCGGTCGTAATCGATGGCGCGATCGCTCCAGAAGGTGTTCTTGATCAGGCGATCCGGCAGCTTGTCCCAGTGGAACTGGCGCATCTTGCCCTTCGGGGCGATCTTCGGCCCGGCCGGCCGCGCCGGACCGAACCCCGGCGGAGGGGGCGGGCCACCGAACCCCGGCGGCGGAGGCGGCCCCGGCGGGCCCATCCCCGGCGGCGGCGGCGGGCCACCCATCCCCGGCGGCGGCGGAGGCGGCGGCGGACCACCCATCCCCGGCGGCGGCGGCGGAGGCGGCGGCGGGCCACCCATGCCGGGCGGCGGCGGCGGAGGCGGCGGCGGCGGCGGACCGCCCATCCCCGGCGGCGGGCCCGGCGGCGGCGGCGGCGGCGGGCCACCCATGCCAGGCGGCGGGCCCGGCGGCGGCGGCGGCGGCGGGCCACCACCACCAGGGGCCGGCGGCGGCGGCGCCCCACCCGGCCCAGCGGGCCCCGTCCCAGCCGGGACCACCTTCTTGATGAGGTCCAGGCTCAGGCCGGCGCTTTCCAGGGCCTTGGTCGCTTCGTCATGCTTGTCGGCCTTCAGCGCCTCGATGGCCACCTTCAAGGGGGCACTCTCGGCGGCGGCGGCCACGGCGGTCAGCAGCTCGGCCTCCTTGGCCCCGATGGTGGCCTCCAGATCGGCGATCTTCTTCTTGTTCTCGGTCTGCATGCTGTCGAAGGTGTCGGCCCACGAGGAGTCCAGCTTCTCCTTCTCCTTGATCAGCTGCTCGTGAGCATGCTCCAGGTGTTGGAGCTTGGACTTGTCGGCGAACTCGCTGATGATGGTGTTGATGTCGATCTGGTACTTCTCCGAGAAGGTGGGGTCGATGCCCTTGCCGCCGAAGATGATCTGCCGGACAACCATGTCCAGCAGCTTCCAGTACTCCCGACTGGGAAGGCGGGCAGGGGGGGGGGGGGGGGGGGGGGGGAGGGGGGGCGGGGACGAATGTGGGGGGGGGGGGGGGGGGGGGGGGGGGGGCGGGGGGGGGGGGGGGGGGGGGGGGGGGGAATGGGGGGATGGCAACGGGGAGGGGCATTTGCAAATTCGTGGATGTCAGCGACACGCGCGCACGTGCGCACGCACGCACGAGAACCCCGGAGGACAG